GTGGGGCAGCACCCCACCTGCCCTGCCTAATGGATGAGTCACCAGTGGGCCCCAGGCTTCCCCTGCATCACTGAGCATTACAAAAATGCCACTTTTTCAAAATGGGAAGATCCAGTGTCTTTGGGGGCTTTTTTTTTTTTCCTGTCTGTCTGTATCCAGGGGACGTGGTGGTGCTGCGGGCTAAACCGCAGAAGCCTTCGGGTGCTGCAGGGTCAGAAGACCAGCAGTCGTAAGATCGAATCCACGCGACGGAGTGAGCTCCAGTCACTTTGTCCCAGCTTCTCATCAACCTAGCAGTTCGAAAGCATGTAAAATGTGAGTAGATAAATAGGTACCACCTCGGTGGGAAGGTAAAACGGCCTTCCCTAGTCACGCTGGCCACGTGACAACAGAATCTGTCTTCGGACAAACACTGGCTCTACGGCTTGGAAACGGGGATGAGCACCGCCCCCTAGAGTCAAACACGACTGGACAAAAATGTCAATGGGAACCTTTAGCTTTTTATGTATCCAGAATGGTGTCATGCATAGAAGGATGGATCAGGACTTAGGAAACGTAGGAGGAAGGACAGATCCTGAAGCTGAGGCTCCAGTACTTTGGCCATCTCATGAGAAGACTCCCTGGAAAAGACCCTGATGTTAGGAAAGTGTGAAGGCAAGAGGAGAAGGGGACGACAGAAGACGAGATGGATGGACAGTGTGTAGGAGAGATGGTCATCAAAGCTACCAACATGAATTTGACCCAACTCCAGGAGGCAGTGGAAGACAGGAGGGCCTGGCATGCTCTGGTCCATAGGGTCACGAAGGGTCAGACATGACTTAATGACTAAACAGCAACAAACAAATGGGGATCTAAATAAATTAGTGGATTGAAGCAGCTGAGAAAATTTGCTTTTGATACAATCAGATATTGAGGAAGGATGACTGTGCCAATGCCCTGGAAATGAAATGGCATGCTTCTGTCGCTTACTGTACATATTTTGATAAAGACCAATGTCTTTTGCATGTGGGGATACCAACAAGAAGGGAAAAGTAAAAAGCGGCAGATAATGGAATGTGGTATGTGCAGTTTTTTACATTGCCTCGCACACATAAATGTACAAGTTTGACCAGATCTTGAGAACCAGTTGAGACTTGTCTGCAGCACAATGTACTGTGTTTTCATTTTATTTTTTTATTATTATATTAAACATAATGGTTAAAGTCTTTCCTGCTAGCCCTTTCAAAACTGTGTATGATAAAAAGATAAAACGTAATTTAAGAATAGTCTTAACCTAGATCAAATCAATTATCTTTGGGTGCAAATATATGGAAATGGAAGCTGTCCTAATTTGAGCTCATCAGGAAAAGGCAAGATTCTCTGAAAAGAAAAGAAAACACAAGAATACTGGGAAAGGTGGAAGGCAGCAGGAAAAGAGGAAGGCCAAATATGAGATGGACTGACTCCCTAAAGGAACCCACAGTCTTGAGTTTGCAAGAGCTTAGCAGTGCTGTTGAGAGGACAGGAGCTTTTGGAGATGGCTCATTCCTAGGGCTGCCATAAGACAGAGGCAACTTGATGGTACATAACAACAACAACAA